CCACCCCCAGGAGGGACTCTCTGGGACCCTCTACCTGTGAGCAGACGTGTCCTGCCCCTCCCCCAGCTTCTCAGACCCACCCTGGGACTGATGCCCCCGTGTGCTCTGTGCCAGGACCTACGGCCCCAGTCCCTCAGGGCCTGATCACCTGGCCGAGTGCCACGTACCTGCCCCACGGGGACACTTCTGGGACCCCGCCGCGAGGCAGGGTCCGTGTCCACCGCCGGCCCCTGGAGGAGCTACACCACTGGCATGTCAGGGCCCCGTGCTCCTTGAGAGAGACCCTTTCTGTGGACAGGTGCCCCCCGAGACCACCGTGAGCATCTCGAGAGCAGGCTCATTCCTTAGTGCTCCTGCCTTCCCGCACCCAGGTCCCCCCAGACAGCAGCCCTGTGGTCGGCACTGGGAGCACCCGTGGGCTCGCTGCTCTGTTCCCTGTCCCAGCAGCCAGAACCATCTGCACGCATCTGTACATGGAGCATGTGCAGTGTGCGTGTGGTTACTTTTGGAAGCCAGATGACGGCCGGGGAAGGGATATGGGAGGAGGTTCCAGATTTGGCCTCCTTCACCACGTTGGTGCTTCCCAATGAAGCTCCCTTGGGGTGAGGTGCCAGCCAGCGGCTGGCCTCCAGCCGGGCACCTGTATTTATTCCGTTGGGATGGCCGGTGTCCTGTGTCCTCTGAGGTCCTCTTGGGGTCAGCACGGTGCCCTGTCCGATACGGTGGTCTCTGCACCCATCGCCGCGGAGGCTCCAAGGAGAGCCGGGCCCAGGAAGGGGAGGCTGAGACCTGGATGCCCAGCTCACCCGAACCTCTGCTCCAGGGGCAGGAAAGGCCTGGAGGCGGCCGGGCAGGGACAACACTTAGCACAGAGCTTGAGCGGCGACAGGAAGGAGGCGCTTGCTGAGGAGCGTGTGCTTAAAGGCTCACTCGAGGGCTCGGACGTTGCCGGGTGGTGTGGGGTCTCCGGCTGAATGCTGGGGCCGTCCCGGGTGGGCCGCATCTGAAATCCCGGGCCGGTGTTCTCTCGTCCCAGTTGCGGGGCTGGGGACGCTGACTTAAAGCGACCTGGCGTGCTGGGAGGGAGGTCGGCACCGGGCATCCCGGGCCCAGTCGCTGCAGCCCCGGGGAGCAGGAGGACCCTCTCCCGGGCTTTGGTCATCCTCTGGGAGCTCCTGGTTTGGGGGGGCAGGGGCAGGCTGGGCGCGGGCTCACCTCTCCTGTCCTGTTGCAGGGCTCGGCCCCCATCCTGGTGGCCATGGTGATCTTGCTCAACATCGGAGTCGCCATCTTGTTTATTAACTTTTTCATCTGAGGAGACGTCGCGTGAGCAAAAACAGTGGTCGATGTACAAAAGGGGGACGTTAAAAAAAAAAAAAAAAACGACAGAAAGGAAAGGATGGTAACTCAGACGGCCGGAGCACCACTTCTGAGACTTTTCACAGAACAATGTGATTGGGTATTACTCACAGTTTGCCTTTTTTTCTGGGTAATGTTTTTTGGATTTTAGCCAAAATTCTTTGCTTGTATAACACGATGCTGTGTGGCATGGCAGAAGGAGGCCAGCACACCGACCCTCCAGCTTGGTGTGGAAAGGAAGGGGACCCCGGCAAATCAATGGCCAAAAAACAAAACGGTCACCGTCCTCGCCGCCATGACACTCCATCTGGGACTGGAAAAGGAGGCGGCCGGAGGAAGACCCCAGCGTGTCCAGCTGTGCTGTGAGGCTGAATGCAGAAAGTCTGTTACCTGT